ACAGTGAGGTACGTGCAGCCTGCACCCAAGTACCGTCCGGCACCCAAATACGATTCCTCTGAGGAGTACGATGTGAGTACTTTACATTACCATCTTTTTCCCTTTTTTGCATTTATTGTGGAAGCATCCTTTTTGTGGGCAATTATAAAAAAATAAATAAAATGGGACATGATGCTATTGAAACTGCTGTATTGACACCAGAANGTCTGTCGACAGTGACCCGAGCAAATAACAGCAGTGTTTTCTTCCAGTTTGGAACAGGAAAAAAAAAAACTTTTCTCATTTCCAAAAGTCAATATGTACAAGGCATCGGTGAGTCCAATTTCTAAAAGAATGGGTTGAACAAGCAAAAAATATGAGAAATAAACTCTGCTCAAAAATTTCATTTTGAAAAATATTCTAAAAAAAGCTTAATTTCATTTCAGCTTGAAACACTTTTTGCATCAATGATGAGCAAGGCATGTTGATGCAAGCCATTTTTCGAAAACAAAGAAGCCTGAAAAAGGAATTCATTTTATTAATTAAATATCTGCTGCAAAGTTTCATTCAAAATATTTTAAGAAAGAAAATACATTTCTATTGAAATGTAAGATTAAAATGCAACTGGTATTTTTCAGGAGATTTTACCCATGACAATGTAATTTTTATTTCTCACTCATAATAAAGAAAAGAGCATTTCTTATTGAAATAAAATAAGGACATTTCCCTGTTATTCAGGCTTATGCTGGGATTTTTAAACTTCATATTCCCCTGGAAGTTCAATCTTGAACACATCATTACAAATTGTAAAAGCTTTTATTCCTTGTTCAACTTATTGCATTCAGCTCTGCTTATTATTGTTAATTATTTCTTGCTTTTCAAGATGGAATAAAGATCACTGTGATCTATGTGGCTTGGAATCGATATTTTTAATTTTGATAAAATTTGTGCGACATCTATGTCATATAGAAAGTAATATGAAAGACCATAGGCATGTGTAAAAGGCAATAGGAAAAAGAACCATTCAAAGTGGGTTCATTCAACACCAAATAATGCCATTCCAGCATAGGTTTCGTTTTTGCAAATCATATGATCTTTGCTCGAATCATAATAGCATTTTTTTTAAATCCATTCCAAACATTTACGAAATGCTCATCAGGTCCTAAAACTCTTTAAATATACATCAGCAAATTAAAAGCATGACTAAATTATAAATTGAAGCAACAATGAAATACAATTTCAAAACTTATTTTCATTCTTTGAAATGTTTGGATTGATTAAAAAATGTGGAACTAAAAAACGTAGTTTTAGCAAAGAAGAAAACCGTCGAAAACCAAAACCGCCAGACGACGAACCGTCGGCAACAAAAACGCCTGAGTAGACTCCTCGCTAGGCCTCCGCCTCCTGCTCAGGTCATGAAACCCATGGGGACTCGGTCGAGCTCAGGCAGATCCAGTACCAAGAGGATCCGGTACGTGTCCCGTCCCCGGTATGTGACCTACGAGGCCCCACAAACAGTGAGGTACGTGCAGCCTGCACCCAAGTACCGTCCGGCACCCAAATACGATTCCTCTGAGGAGTACGATGTGAGTACTTTACATTACCATCTTTTTCCCTTTTTTGCATTTATTGTGGAAGCATCCTTTTTGTGGGCAATTATAAAAAAATAAATAAAATGGGACATGATGCTATTGAAACTGCTGTATTGACACCAGAAGTGCTGTTTTGAACATGCACTTTTTTAGCACACGCTCTTTTGTGCATAAGCTCCTTTGTGCATGCGCTGCTTTCAGCTGGCGCTGCTTTCAGCTGGCGCTGCTTTGAGCTGGCGCTGCTTTGAGTTGGCGCTGCTTTGAGCTGGCGCTGCTTTGAGCTGGCGCTGCTTTGAGCTGGCGCTCTTTTGTGAAAATGCTCATATTCAACAAAATGCTAGTGAATGTGTAGTCCTGTATTCATATAATGATGTACCAATAAGAAACCCCAAGTAAGACAGATACTGTATTTGAAATTTCCAGCCTACAATTTGGGTTAAAAAATGTATCCCTGATTAAGAAGAATGCCCCATTTTTAGAGATTAGAAATTCTAGTACAGTGAGCACAAAATAAAATATTAGTCTTAAACTTACAGACGAAGAAAACATCAGTTTTAATAAGGATTAGTATTTACAAAAGGGAAAAACATTAGAAGAGAACTTTAACCATCTTTTAAGAACAACCTTAATCCGTACTGTACTTAAGAAATTTTAGAAATTATGAATTACTTGCAGCAGTGGGTTCTTTTCAATATCAAAGTTGAGATGTTTTCTTTTTGCATGCACAGGAGCATTTTGATTTGATGACCAAAGGAATCTCCTGGGTCACACACATGCCACAGTTTGGAAAAATTTTGGGAAGAGAATTCCTATTGTTTGAAAACATCTTCAATGTTAATCCTATATGCTAGGAATGCAGGGAAAAACACCATGCAGTAAGAATTTCTTTGTCAGCCAAAATTTTCTGTACTCACAGAAGAAGAAAAAATATATATCAGACTATATTCCTCATCTTAAATCTCAGCTGTTCAGGTACACTTTTGCAAAAGCAGTAGTGTATCTCCACTTTGGGGTTATTCAAAAAAGAAGGTTTTCTCAAGTAAATATGGTTTTTTGCTATACAGTATATTTTTTTATTGGCATGTCCTAATTTTTGCACAAGCTTCTTATTTACTAAAATGTATAGTGGTCCATTTCCTGCCCCCATCACATATCTTCATAATCAGCCTCTATTTTTTAAAAATTGTAAATAACCAAATCAGAATTTGAATGTCTGCTTCTTTTGTAGTCAAAATTATTCCTAATCATAAATGTTTTCCCTTTTTGTAATCTTCTCTTGAAATTGGTAGAAAATTCTTGTTGGAATTAGGCATGACATGAATTAAAATTTTTAGAAATTATGAATTACTTGCAGTAGTGGGTTCTTTTCAATATCAAAGTTGAGATGTTTTCTTTTTGCATGCACAGGAGCATTTTGGTTTGATGACCAAAGGAATCTCCTGGGTCACACACATGCCACAGTTTGGAAAAATTTTGGGAAGAGTACATCCTATTGTTTAAAAAAATCTTCAATGTTAATCCTATATGCTAGGAATGCAAGGAAAAACACCATGCAGTAAGAATTTGTTTGTCAGCCAAAATTTTCTGTACTCACAGAAGAAGAAAAAATATGTATCAGACTATATTCCTCATCTTAAATCTCAGCTGTTCAGGTACAATTTTGCAAAAGCAGTAGTGTATCTCCACTTTGGGGTTATTCAAAAAAGAAGGTTTTCTCAAGTAAAATATGGTTTTTTGCTATACAGTATATTTTTTTTATTGGCATGTCCTAATTTTTGCACAAGCTTCTTATTTACTAAAATGTATAGTGGTCCATTTCCTGCCCCCATCACATATCTTCATAATCAGCCTCTATTTTTTAAAAATTGTAAATAACCCATAATGCTGACTGTAATTTTTAATTTATTTATTTTTTGCCTTTCACATCAGTCTGCCAATTACCAGTTCGCCTACCGAGCCCGCGCTGAAGGCGGCCACAAGGGCTACGGCGGCTCGGGATCCGCAGAAGGCGACAGTGCGGAATTCGGCCATGCCGAGCAGCGCAGCGGCGACAAGACCGACGGCAAGTACTTTGTCGAACTGCCCGACGGTCGTCTGCAAACCGTCGAGTACTACGTGCACGGCGACTCGGGCTACGTGGCCAAGGTGTCCTATTCCGGCGGCTCTGGCTCGGCCGAACAGGCCACTTACGGCGGCGGTGCTGGTGCTGCTGCTGGTTCTGGCGACGACGACTAAACAATGATGATGAATCGACAATCAATCAATCAAGCAATCAATCAGTCAATCAGTCAGTCGAGCCTGTCGATGAAGTCTAGCGTTTATATTGTGTCCTCTGTTTTTATTTTATTTATTTTTGTTTCCTCTATATCCAGAAGAAGTTACCTGCTGCTGATCATGTGAATCGTGGAATATTTATTTATATATATATATATTTTTTTTTTTTGGCGTTTTTTCTTGTTGGAGATGACGAAAACTTGCATGCTCCTCATATCGTGTTCAAGCGTGTGTGTTTGCCCTTTTGTTATTTAATAAATGGAAATTTCTGGTCCGTCGAAAGAAGCAAAAAAAAAGAGCTTTTTTATTTTTTTTCTGGCGCCTGCGCTGATGATATAAAGAAACAAAAAACATGTACACCTCCAAGTTTAAGTGGCTTAAATGGCAAGTCTGGGAATTTCTTTGAAGAAAATACGACTAAAACCTCTGAGGATTTATAAGTACTGTAAATGAAAAAAAGGTTGACTATAGTCATTTTGATATTGTATAATTGTCACCCAAAAATCTTCAGAAAGTAAGAAATGCATTTTAATCCTTTTTTCACAGATTTTTACATCTTTAGACTACTTGATAAAATTCAACATGTCTAAGTCAAAAACTTCCCTATAGCTGACTTGAATTTCCAAAGGATCTCAGAGTAATTTTTGTAAGACCAATACACTTTTTGACTTCAGCTTCCCTCAGTTAAATTTTTCAATTGCTTTTGAGCTATTAAATTGGGGGTACATTTCAGAGTACAGGCAACTGATGCAAAACAGGGGCCCATTATTATTTTTAAATGTTTCACATAAGACATTCATGCAAAATCCTGCAAGTAAAACTTATCCAAATAAATTCTTTCAAATTATTACAGGCCTGAAAATAATTTTCATGGGTTAAGAAACACAAATCATGTTATACTTACTAACTGAGAAACCAAGGAGTCCCTTCAAAATTGACTTAGAAAGGTTCAACTGTACAGTATTTCTAAACTTCTGAAACTCACTGGAGTTTTATGGTGACCCAGGGTCTAACCAAAATGACCCATCAACCATGAAAAATCCTCACATTTCCCTGCAATAAAAACCAGCCCTCTGAGAAATTAATCACCTTAATTTGTACTGTATCCATAAAGAAAACACATCACAATTTGATCCAAGTTTCTTCTCTTTTTTTATTCTCTTGCTTGTCTACAAACAACAATGGCGAACATTAGATTCAGACACGTCCAAAAAAAGGGGTCAGAAAGGCAAAAAAAAAAACCGCGAGTTAAAAAAACGACGCTGCAAAAAAAAAGACGCACCGTTTTTCCGCCTGTTGTACCTCAAAAGGGACAAAATCTCAAAGGAGCGTGCGCACAAATGAGCCCACGTCAAAAGAGCAGGCATCAATTTACACCTCTTTAAAAAAAATTCTTTCTCGATTTGATCCCCGCTCTCTTGAGACGTACACTCTTTATGATTCACACACCCCTTTTTTCTCGCCAGAAACAAAAAAAAAATTAAACGGAAAGTCCGTATCACAGTTCAAATAAGAATTGCATATAGAAAACATGAATAGTCAAAGGAAATAATTGCAGATCGTGGGTTAGGTCAACGCAAGTATCACAGGGATCGAGCCTCGCATCTTCTACACAATTTTTCTTCTTCTTCTTCCCGAGACACATTAAACAAAAAAAGGAACCTTTTCTTTCATGGCACACGGGAAAAGGGGACATTTTGATCTCACGAAAAAAGTACATTTCAAGATCCATTCGTGATGGTGGGAACGAATTGCCACTGATCACCACAAAAAAAAAAAAACCACACTCACATTCGCGCACTAAAAAAAAATCAATCAATCAATCAACCAATCAATCAATCCATAGCACGTGACGATGAGATCTTCAATCACAAACCCCCGGCTTTCGACTGACTTACTTTCGGCGGGGTATAAGTAATCAAAATCGACGTAAAAAATTTTTATTTTTCGCCTTTTCCAAGCGAACATATGAATAAATTATTGGGCGTTTTTATCGTTCTCTTTCTTTTCCAGAAGAAAGAGAGAGAGAGAGAGAAAATTGCAAAAAACAAAAACAAAAGTGAACGCGGTGGGCTTTGGGAACTACAATGCGAAAAAAAACAAGTTTGATGATTTTCACTTTTTCTTTCTACTTGTTTTCTATTTTTCCGGATCTAAACAATGACTTCGTGAATGACTCTTCGTCCGCGAGATGCCGGACCTTCACTGTCCATGGACTCATTGAAGCCCAAAAGCGAAGGTTGCTGACTCCTGCTGTACTGGTCAGAACCCGCATTGCTCAGCTCTGGCAACCCCACACTGCCCAGGCTCATATTCCCATAGGGATTTTCTGTGCAAAAAAAGAAGAAAGACACACAATGTTATTGCAAATTTTGTCTGGTGATCTTACTGTATACAAAAACAGCATAGATGTCACTCCAATTTAGGACATGATGTCCCAGAAAATAATAGAAAAAATCCTGACAGCTTGAAATTCTCAAATGACAATTGAATTACAATCTTTTCAAATAGTTATTATTGAGGTAATTTGAGAGAAAATTCCCCTCAGAAAAAGTTTTAAAATAAAGATAAACATTCATGTGTGTTATTGAGGAGAGAATGCAATACTGAAAAAACCCCAGTGAAGGTTTTTCCTCCCCTGATTTTTTTTATTGTGATTGAAAAACAGTCTTCACACAACCTTTGTTGAGATGAATCACTCCTTTCTTCTTATTCCTTTTTTATCTTAACATATTTTTACCGGGGTTTGGATTTGCACATACATTTTATTTTATTCAACTGTATTTTGTTCCTTGTCAATTGTGCCATATCTTTGCCATCAAATTACACAATAAATCATAACTAATAAAAAACATTAACATATTTTCACAATTTGTCCCATTTAATTCATGCACTTGGTTGCAAATTGGCTGATTCCGTGCGTTTCATTTGTTCCACAGCACCTTCATCATGAATTCTTCTTTTGGTTTCTGTTAATACCCAACAATGTGGAATGAAAAATTGAGAAGCAGGAATACTGTACTCTAAGTAAGTTAAAATCAGCTTTGCACACTCATTCAACTGCAGGTTATTTTTATGTTACAATTGCCTCAAAACTTTCTATATATGTATCTGATGGGAATCAGACTTGGGTTCACCCCCATATGAAGTGCTTTCCGAAGTCACACATAACAGGAATCCAATATACACACCTCTATGCAAATGGGTCTGGTGATGAGGATGGTGGTGGTGGTGTTGAGCAGTCACACCATAGGGATCATGGCCATAGTCCCCAGCAATAGGGTAATGCGCATAATCCTCATTGCCCACAAAGCCAGTGTGGTGCTGACCATTGGTACCATTGACTACCACAGAGGTGCCATAAGCATAAGCACCTCCATTAACTTGAGCCAAGCCAGCTGCCACCCTTTCTTCACTGGAGGTTGGGCGCCACAAGCTGTCCTGGGAGTTTACTGAGCCACCATTGTTGGAGTTGGAGTAGCTTTGCTGGTGATGTTCCCCATATTGCACTTGATGCCCTGCTGAATTTGGAGGACCCCAAAGTTGTTTTTATAGAAATCATATTCAAGTGTGACTGCCAGTGATGAGAGACTCACCTTGTCCATAAACATCATTTGCTTTGGTTGGGTGCTCATCAATTGTGATTGTTGGCTTCCCAGCATCTCCATTGGTGGTGTAGTAAGGTGGTGGAGGGGTTTGCTGAGCAATCAGATTTGGTCTCACACTGCATCAGAAAAAGCACAAAAGTTTTTTTGTTTTAGATTCCAGAAATTGAACCTCAGGGTGTAAGAAAAGCTTCATCATCAAGAGAACACAAATGACTCACTGTGGGGAGTCCACTTGGAACCCTTTTCCCATGCCCTTGTTATTGGCCTTCCTGCAGCAGCAACAGGCAATCACCAGGACTCCACAGAGGAAGACCACACAGCAAGCAACAATGGCCACCAGGTATTTGATGGGGAATGCTTTGGCCAGCAGCAAATGCCCAGGCAACACATCCACCAACTCAGCTTCCACAGCTGGACTGCACACATCCACTCCTGCACAGACTCTTACTCTCACACCTTCCCAAATCCTGTAAAGACAAAGATCATTAAAAGTTATTACAATATAGGAGAGAAAAATTTGCAATTGTGCATCAACAACTGTGTACCTATTGATAAGACATAATTAAACTCAAAGTTTCCTTTTAAAATCTTGGGGAAAAAAGGTGCATGTAATACTCCAGTATTACAGTGTTTTGGGCCCACAGACCAGCAAATTTCCACAAAATGTTCTGCAGACTCAAAAGAATTTCATTTCAAAGACTTCATGGCAGTTGTTTCTAAAAAGTTTCTGCTTTTTTTGCAAAACTCAACTTAGGAGCCAATGAAGCAGCTAAAATGTAATCCCTTCAAAAAATTATAAATACAAGCTTGAAGAAAGGTTTCTAAGAGTGAAAAATTATAAGAATTTATTTCAGCCGGTGAAAATGTGACTGAAGCAATATTAATAAGAGAAAAGTCCACTTTTAATTTTTCATCATAAAAATTTCAACTGCTGTTGTCTTTCCAAAATTCCAGATCAAGATAACAGACTTCATTGCTATTTTTTGATAAATTTATTATGCTGAAGAAAATGTCCCTCAGACCAGCATCAGTTTGCAGACCATGGATTTGAGAACACTGTTCTACTAAATATGACAGGAATAATTCCTTTTCTCAAGTGTGACAAATACAAATATTTTACCTTTCAGTTTCAGGATTCTGGTCATCCAGAGAATCATAGTCATCAACCTTGATGTCCACCACTGAAGCAGCATTGGTCAACAGGGGCACTCTTCTGGCCAGTTGCCTCCAGGACAAATCATCAGTGCCATCAACACCCTCATCATCAGCTTCCTTCACATCAATAACAGCAGAGAAGCTGGAGCTTGAGGAAGCTGAAGCAGCTGCATCCATTACATGTCTAGGGTCAAAGCGGAAGGTCAGCGTTCTGCGGGCAGTGGCAAACACTACATCTTCTGGATGAGGCACATCTGCAGCAGTGAGTCCAGTGGCCAATCTTGAGGCATCTGAGAACTCACTTTCACCCATCATGTTCACTGCCTTCACCTGCAATTTCACCAGAGAAGTGCCAATTAGTCACTGATTTATATGCATGGTAATGAACTCTTGTTACAACAAATCTTTTGCAGACTTGAGGAAAAGTTTGTTGAACTAAAATCATTTCTTACATCATACCAGACTATAATCAATTAGATCTTGCTTTTCTGGCATGCTCAGATTTTTTATTATTGTTCAACTCAAATGCATTTAAAATGTTTGCCTAGTGATGATGGTTTATATACAGTATCTGAATACTAGAAAATAATCTGATCTTGTCCACTTCAGCATCAGTGGGGTTGCCTTTTAAGATTTAAAACCACTGCAAATGAACAGAGGCTTTATTTCCAATTGGCTTGGAGAATTTCAATTCCATGAACTTGAGTCAAATTCTTTTAATGAAGAGAATAAAAAGGATGTCTGACCTGAACCAAGTAAGTGGTCCTGGGCATGAGGTTAGTGAGATTGCAAGGATTGGCAGTTTTGCAGTGAAACAATGCCCTGGTAGCATCAGATGAAGTGGCAGCAGAAGTGGCAGTTGGTCTGGCCCTCACAACATACTCCACATCCTCCATGCCTCCATCAAAATTGGGGTCCCAGGCCACAGAGATCCAGTCCACACCTGCTTCTGTGGCAATGGGTGCCAGGGGTGCATCTGGTCTTCCAGGTCTACCCAGGATCACTGTTTGTCTCACATCACTTGACCCAACATCATTCCTGCAAAAGGGGACACACAAATAAAAAAAAACATATTCAATAAATGTTTCTCTTTGCACCAAAAAATTTAAAACTGGGCATTTTATTCCTTATGGTATGTACAGTGCTGGGGCCCTGAGATGTGGACACAATTGGTATTTGGACCTTGTCCCTATGTTAAAAAACATCTACATGTCAATAGATCACATTTCCTCACAGAATTCAGAAGGGGGCATATTCAATTGTGGTTCTCCTGTTTTGTCAAAAATTTCAAAAAGTGTCCCCTGCATTTTTTTCTTGACTTCAAGATACAGAAAATATTTGCTCAGTTAATCTGATATTTTGGCATGTAAACAAGTTCAGAAAACGAAGAACAAGCATATCATATCTTGCTTCACTCTGCACAGATTATGCGTAAAGAAAACTTTGAAAAGTGAAAACCTATTTTGGATTATGAATTGAAGTAATTTACGATATGAACATTTTGAATTTTTGCAGTAAAAATTAAACATTTTTAAATTTTTAGAATTTTAGACAGTGTCTGAATCTTGAGATATTATCCAGAATTTTTTTTTTCCAGTTTCGAGTGACCCTCAATCAAGTCATTTTTAAGTTGGAACTGATTGAAGCGACATCTACGCGAGTCATTCATAGATTGAGTTTCGGAGTTTCCATTTACCTGGCCACACAGGCGTACTCTCCAAAGTCGGCGGCAGAAACGGCGTCGATTCGCAGCACAGCTTGATACAGGTCTCCAGCAATGGCAGAGGCGTTATTGGCGATTCGGCGTCCATCGGCTCGCACCGACGTTTCGGCGCCGTCGCCGCGGATCCGTGTCCACCGAAAGGTCGCCGGTGGGTACGCCCAAGCCCGGCACCACATGATGGCGGTGCCGCCTTCGGGCGCCGCGAACTTCCACGTCTGCTTCACTGGGATCGGGGCGTCTGTTGGAGATTTGATGAAAAAAATCACGAATAATTTTTTTTATTTGAAAAAACAATGAAACAAGCGAAAATGTAAAAAATAATCGTCTCGTTTCTTTCGATATTTAATGAAGAAAAATTGAGTGTGGCCTCAAGATTTCTAGAAAAAATAGAAACCATGCCATTTTTCAAAATTTGAAAACCTCTGGAATAAATTGAGCTATTCATATACACAAAGAAAAAATTGTATCACAAATTTACTTTAATTCATAATTCAAAAAGGCTAATTTTGTGCTCCTTTTTTCAGAGCTCTTATCCATAAGCTGTGAAAAATTTAGCAAGACTTGTGCCTTTTTTCATTTTTGGCTCTTTTTCATGCCAAAAGATCAAATGATGCGTGGTTTCTTCTGCAGAGTCACTTTCAAGTTGAAAAAATTTGCATTCAATTTTTTAAGGAAAAAAATGATGTAGTCATGAGATATGCTCCCATTAAAGTTTATGAGAAAAAGTGCTCCAATCATGCTGTTATTCATTTTATTTTTTTTATTTTTTTGGGAGAATTTTACATGCATAACCAGTAGATAAAAAAAATGATGTAGTCATGAGATATGCTCCCATTAAAGTTTATGAGAAAAAGTGCTCCAATCATGCTGTTATTCATTTTATTTTTTTAATTTTTTTGGGAGAATTTTACATGCATAACCAGTAGATGTCTCTGCTTGTGCCATGTTGTGTCACTCCATGAAGAAGAAGAAGAAAAAAAAAAAAACTTCAGACAAGGAGCAAAAATTCATGAGCTGCTTTGCATAGATATGCCCAACAACCAGGTTCCACCAGGTTGTAAACCTCAGGGCGATAAGGCAGCATGTGCAAGAAAGCAGCAAAAATCTGCAGAGTCATGCCCAGCATGATATTCAATATCCTCAATCACCCATCAAGGAATTGTGTGAGTACACACCCATCATCACCAGGGTTTCACATTTCAGGCCAACCATGACTTGTGGAAACCCCTCTCCTCAACCCCTGGGGGGGGGGGGGGAATTGTTTTTAGAAAAAGAAAAAAAGGGTTGCAAAATTGAAAGACTCAATGTTACATCAACACACACACATTTATTCCCAGGGATTTTGTGAATAAGAAGTTTAGTATATTTTTTCTCCTTCTGAATATATTGACAGCTTTTGAGATGGCTTGTATATAGGGGAGATCATTACTCATGTCTATGACTTTTTTATTTTTCTTGAGGTTTTGAGAGATGATTGCTGAATAATATTTTTGGTGGGGAAAAAGATGGAACTAGTTGATGGATTTCTCTCTGCCTTGTGTCTCATGCATACAGAGGTGATCAAGTCTCTCCTATTGGCTTTTTCTTTCTCTTCTGCCCACAGGTCTTTGCCATTCATTGACCCTTACATTCAGGAAAAATGGGGCTTCCAGTAAATTCCATCAATTCAGTCAAAACATAAAAGAACCCTTGTTCAACTGAAAAAAGAGTAAATTTGATACAAATGTGATCAGAAAATTGGAAAAAATTAATTATATATTTTAAAAGTTAAGATAATTTCATACTTTTTTTCCAATAGAACAAATGTTAAATTCAAAACCTAGATTCAAGAGATTTTTAGCCAGGGTGGGATTTAGCACACTTCAAAAATTCAGCTAGCTTCAAAGAATAACATTCCAAGGCTTTTCAAATTACACTGAAAAGAGAAATGATAGATTCCACTTGGGGCAACTTGAGAAAAATAAAGTCCAGATGTTGAAAAAAAAAAGTCAAATTTCAACCAATCTTTCAGAATTTCTTGGGAGTTTCCTGAGCAAAAGAAAATGTATTTCAAACACATAGATGAGATGATTCAGCTTGAAGAAACTTTATCCACATTCAGCCAAAACACTGATCATTCAATAATTTTCACATTTTCCAAACAGACATTCTTTAGGTAGTGAAAAAGTCAAGTTTTGAGCAATAAAAATCATTTAAGAATTTCTTGCCAATTTCCTGAACTGCAGAAGAATATACAGATTGAAAATATGAATGAGATGAGATGATTGCACCTGGAGAAACTTCATCCAAATTTGAGTCAAAATATTCATAAGATAAATTTCAGTTTATCAAAAATTAATCTGATCATTTTATAATTTTTCGTTTTTTTTTCTGAGCACACATGTTTTTTTCCAAATATTGAAAACATACTTTATACTTTATTTTTCAAGCATTCCAACAAGAACCTTTTGCAACTTTGCAAGTGGCCCCATGTATTTTGAGGAAGAGAGACAGAGAACCCAGAGTTCAAACATTCATTGGATAAACCTGAAGCGGGGGCAGATGCAAATTAGCCCCCATCCATTAACAGGAAGCCCTGGAGGAGGGGGGGGGGGGGGGCAATTGACAACTTGTCCTTCTTTTCATGTGCCCCCAACAACTACTTCTTCTTCTTCTTCTTCCACCTGTCAACTCTCTGGTTGGGACACGCAAACAGGCTCTCACAACTCAAAACCTTGTTCCCCCCTACTTCTATTTATGCAGTCAAATTCCGTTACAACGAATCTCGGTATAACGACGAAGAATTTAATTTTTTTCATTTTTGGTCCAAGCAGTTTTTCCACATGGAAAATGTCAGCATAAACAAAGTAATTTTCTTCTAAAATCTCAGTATAAAAACAAATTTTTGTGCCTTGATTATGTGCCCACAGGCCATTAAATTTTTACCAATTGGCACAATAAGGCGAAACACGAATTGTGCAAAATGTAAATGGTATTCTGTTTGTGCAGAAACTTCAGCATTCCAGGAAGGATGAAGCTTTATATTCAAAGTTTATTCAGCTTCATTTCAAAATGTGAGAAATACTCACACATTAAATTACTGTGATACAAAAAAACCAAACAAGCATAATTTCAAAATATTAAGATTTTCCATAATTTCAAGCCTGATCGAAAAATCTGACTAAAATTTCCAAAATCAGAACTTGCTTTCATGGGTACTGTAACCAGTTTTTGAAACCTGGGCATTGTCCTATATAAAGCTAAGCACTACATGCAAATGTGGCAGAAAATCCCATCCTCTCAAACACAGAAAAAAGCAGGTAGCAAAAATTTTTTGGCACAGCGCTGAAAAACATGAAAGAAATCATTTAAAAAATTACTCAATCGCCCGATTTTGAAAAATTTCACTGTCGGGAGATTGTTTTTTCTCTATACCGGGAACGACGCGGCCGTTGTTCGATACATCTTTTTCTTTCGCTTTCCCAATTTCTCAACATTTTGACAAATGAACGAAAAATAAAAATAAAAATTCCGAGGGAGGAGGAAGAGGAGAAAAATGAAGGCGCCTCGGGGCCGCCTTCGCAACGGTTCGCCCTCAACTTGTCCGCCTCGGAAATTCGTCATCCGCTCTCGTTGCTCCGGCCAGGAATAAGAAGAAACTAAGACGAGGATAAAAGCACGAGAATAAAAAGAAGACAAAGAAGAAGAAGAAGAAGACGACGACGAAGATGATGATGATGATGATTGGATCTCGGCGGCGCGAGAAATAGGATCAAACCGCTACGTTTCACGGTTCATCGAACGCCCCACCGCCTCGGGACATTTTTTCTGGACACACACACACACATACACAACCTACTCTAACCCAACACCCCAGAGCCAGAAACCCAGACTTCTTCAACTCACTCCCCCTCGAGTTTTATTTTCTTTTATTTATTTTGTACACACGGGAAACCTGACCCATTCGCAAATACAGTGCCATAAAACAATAAAAGTTGAACCCCTCTTCACCAGCTCTTCATCATGAACTCACAAGAGATAAAAAACCCCTCTTGTGATGCCCCAGTTCATGACTCTGACAAAAAAATTATCTAGACTCTTACAAAAGTTTACTCATTTTTCCAGAGCACATGAAATAAAACTCCCTGAAAAATTACAATAAGTTATCTCCATAGAACATATTATTCATTTCAGTTAGTTATACTGTATTCAAAAGTTTTTCCCTCACCATGTTAGAACAATATAAGGCAGAGGGAGGAGGAAGAGGAGAAAAATGAAGGCGCCTCGGGGCCGCCTTCGCAACGGTTCGCCCTCAACTTGTCCGCCTCGGAAATTCGTCATCCGCTCTCGTTGCTCCGGCCAGGAATAAGAAGAAACAAAGACGAGGATAAAAGCACGAGAATAAAAAGAAGACGAAGAAGAAGAAGAAGAAGACGACGACGAAGATGATGATGATGATGATGATTGGATCTCGGCGGCGCGAGAAATAGGATCAAACCGCTACGTTTCACGGTTCATCGAACGCCCCACCGCCTCGGGACATTTTTTCTGGACACACACACACACACACACATACACAACCTACTCTAACCCAACACCCCAGAGCCAGAAACCCAGACTTCTTCAACTCACTCCCCCTCGAGTTTTATTTTCTTTTATTTATTTCGTACACATGGGAAACCTGACCCATTCGCAAATACAGTGCCATAAAACAATAAAAGTTGAACCCCTCTTCACCAGCTCTTCATCATGAACTCACATGAGATAAAAAAAAAACCCTCTTGTGATGCCCCAGTTCATGACTCTGAAAAAAAAAATTATCTAGACTCTTACAAAAGTTTACTCATTTTTTGTCTCGTGTACTTTATTTTGAGGGACTTTTTAATGTTATTCAATAGAGGTATCTTGTATAATAAGTAAAGTCAATCAATATGACATAAGTTTTCAAAAAGGGAGTGGTACAATCTTGTTATATTCCGAAAATATAAGTTTCCCAAAAGAATAGAGCCAAAATTGTGTCACACCAAAAAAAAAATTTTTTTCTCCAGAAAAAGGACAATATTCCAACACATAATTTTTATTGAAGCAATCTATGATTTTCTTCTGAGTAACATTTTCTTACCCTGAATCTTTCAAATGCAGAAATAATAATTATGAGCACAATATAACATTTTTACTAATTTTAAGAGGAACACCAACAAAAAGTCCCTTATAACAACACTTTGTAGACAAATAAGTGTTAAAAACTAAGTTAAAGCACCTTTGGAAAATTTTTGTTGAAAGGTGTAATTTTCAGTAGCAAAGTTGTTCATAAAATGTACAAGAGAACACAAAAATTATAGTAGTAAATTATAGACTCACGTTGCATTCTAAGCCTCATGTTGGACTCCTGCTGACCAACAGGGTTGGTGAAGCGACAAGTGTAGCGACCACGGTCCTCTGGTACCAATGAGTTACCACCTGGACGACTGTCTCCCTGGAACACCAAGTGACTAGTGACCCTCACCAGAGAGCTGGAAGGGGAGTTTGGCACAGACTCTGTCACAATCCTGAAAAGGTCTTCCCTTTGGCCAGGCACAATTTCTTCTCCATCTTTGAACCAGGCCACAGTTGGCTCAGGGAACGGTCACCGTCTCGTCAAGTGTCGTTTTGGTCCAGATTAACTTTTTTTTTTAACCTGGTTAATCATGGAAGAAACCTTTTGGTACCATGTCACCATGGAGTACCTTACCTGTAGTAAACAAGTTGGACTATGTCATTGTACAATTCATTCTTTATACAACTGCGGACTGGCAAAATTTCCAGAAAACTGTTTTGAGGACAGACAAAATCCCAAATAAAATTTCTGCAGACCAGCAAAGTTTCATCAAATTTTGCAGACTCCAAAAAGTTTCTGATTTTTGCAAGAATGGTGCAGGGGTATAAAGGAATGCTTTCAAAAAATTAGAAAGGTGGGCTTGAAGAAAGGTTTCTCGGAATGAAAAAAAAATTAAAATTACCTGTATTTATTCCAACAGGTGTACATTTGTCTGAGGTGTTGAGAGAAATGGCACACTTTTATTTTTAGTATTAAAGTTGACGGTAACAGGAAGGTTTTACAATCCTCTTTTAACGTTTTTTAAGTAGGGATGTAAACTATGTACATAATACGACTTTTCAAGGGCACCTGACCGTTTTTTTGAAGACGTCTAGTCAAGTTGACCCTGATGTGCAGATGGACTAGTATCAAATTGCAAAACAGTCCAATTGTAAAATTAAGTAGGAGCGTCATAAAAACTTCAGAAAATTGGCTGAAGCCGGTCAAATTGTGGGGCAGAGGTCAAATTGCAAGTCAACCTCTCAGCAAATTGAACCAACAAATTGTGGGATGGCTGAATTGTTATTTGCCACCTGTAGGACAGTAAAAAAATTCCACCACAAATGTTCATTTCAAAGAATAGGTTTTTTGTTCTAAAAGTACAACTTGATTGATTTTCAATAAATTTTTTTTAGATATATGGTGGGATGATCTTCATATTATAGCACTGTACCTGTCAACATAGCCAACAGCAGTTGGATGCAGTTCCCTGGCAATCACTGGTGGATGCGCCACCTTGAGGAAAAAGCTGGCAGTTTTCCCTGAGCCCACTCTGTTATGCGGCCTGCACTTGTACACAGCTTCATCCTGCTCAGACACAGCAGGCAGGGTCAAGTTCTCCCTCACAGACAACACTTCAGCAGTGGATGGGAGATTGCCATTGTCAATGTCATCATCTTCTTCACTGTTGGTGCCATGCATTTCCCCTAGAGATGCCAAGACTGAGGGTTTCTGAGCAGGCTCTGATTCAGCACTAGGTGCAGGCACTCTCCACCACTCAAACACTGGTGTGGGCCATCCTGGAGGGTCAGAGTGACAGGTGAGTGTCACAGGCTGGCCAGCCACTGCAAACTGGGATGACAAGCTGATCTTGGCCTGGCCTGGGGCATGTTGCACAACCACCTGTTGGATTTTTCACACACATTTACCTCAAATAATCT